GGCAGAGAGCAGTGACAGGATCGAGAGGTGAGCGAACGCCGGTATGTGTTCGCTCACCTCCCGATCTACTGAGCCGACCTGTGACAGTCTCATTGTCACAGGTCGGCTAGAACTATGAGGTGAGTGAAAAGCACGCACCTCATAGTTCTCCTTTAACTATTCTTTCCTCTATCCAATACTAAAACAACAAAAAAAGGTGTTGTGCTTTAAATACACTTTAACGATATACGGATTGGCTTAGGCATTATAGGTGGGCAGTGCTTAATGCAAGTCTAAATACAAGAGTCATGTTTATTCTTCTTTGAATCTTGGTGAGCTTTGTGTATTTCCTCCAGATCTGTGCAGTAATCCCATGTGAGACTTGGAGCTTCCTGTAATAAGGACCACTCACTGCTGCTTTCTCTCCTTGTGCAGGATGACTGGTCTTGTCTCCACCCCCTCCTGTAACAAAGACTGCTCACTGCTACTCTCTCTCCTTGCGCAGGGTGACTCGTCTTGCTCTGCCCCCTCCTGTAATAAAGACTGGTCACTGCAGCTTTCTCTCCTTGTGCAGGGTTACTGTAGTGGGTGGAGTCTGTTGGGCCCCTCCCACAGTTCTCCTCTCTACACAGGCTATGCGCAGCACAGTGATGACCTCACTGCTACTTTTACTAGTATTTTCTGGGTTTGTAATGGCATTCGGTGCACACAAGTTGATTTTATATCCTTTGTGTGCATTAACAAATGAAAGTTTCAGTGAAAGTTTTTGTTCCTGGAGTTCAGCTTTGCTTAGAATGGGGACAGAGTGACATCACCATTGCAAAATCCTCAAAAGCTTTCTGAATTGAAATAGACCAGAGCAGCACCTGCCTTGCCAGCCACCACCAGCCTCTTATTTTCCAGCAGTACAGGTCCTCTTTAGAGTGTAGTTTCTGTATGGTATAAGCAGTGACACCGTTATATCTGGATGTTGTCAGTCTAGAAATGAAAAGCCCCATGAGAGTACACCGGGTGATAGCGTAATGTCCGACCTTTTCTATTTTCAGGTTATTCTCCCATTCCAGGATATAATGATGAGAACTGAATCCTCAGCAGGTATGTACAGAGGTGATGACCCAGTACAGGCTCTTCACTGACACAGAAAGGAAACCTATACTGCAGCCGGGTGTTTCTCATGAAATGTGTGCAGGTGACATCTTCTTCCTCTACAGGTTGCAATGTGAACGTGGAATTTCAGATGTTTTAATTCTTTCTGAATAGACCTGGAAAGGGTTAAACTGCCTGCCAGGTTTTTATTGCTGCCTGTGTCCCAGTTGACCAGATTTCCTCTCACTTCCTGTCCCGGAAATCACAGTCACTATTCCCTCATTTCACAAAACACACACTGGCATTAAAGAAGAGCTCCCGGTATGGAAAACATTAACTCTTGCAGTGGGGCTACGCCTACACTGCAAGTGGTAAGTGTTAATTTTTTCTCTAATGGCCGAAATAAAGACGATACACTCATCTGATCTTCGGTCCTGTAGCGGTGACCCTTCACCTCTCCCCCCCTCCACCTAGGCTTTGGAATGTCCCTCAGCACTCTCACGTTTAATGCAAGTCAATGGATCTTTAAAAAACAAACAAACAGCGCTCTCGGAAAGAATGAATTTGAAAATGCACAATCTGTAATATGCTGCCCTGAAGACCAGTAGGAGGACCTGTGTGTGCTGTAGAAGAAGTTATGACAACGCGCAAAATTTACAGAGAAGAAGATCACCCCCCTCTCCCGGTCCCTCCTCACTTAAACGTAAGTTTACTTCATTCATTTTGTTTGACTCAATTGCCAGCACTATTGCCAAAAACTGCCACTCTGTAAATTTTGCGCCTTGTCATAACTTCTTCTAATGCAAGTCAATGGACTTGTTATAGACATGATCACATCAGCTGGGCTTAGACTGCCAGAGCCCAGGGAAGAAAAGGCTGTGGGGCCCGGTCTAGCAGCCAGAAGGGATCAAGGATCAGGTGGGTATATATTTTTTTAATTTGAGCCCCTAGACCAGACCTGGGCATTTTACACATCCAGCCCTTTGGCTATCTTTGTCCGGTCCATGGCCCAGACACAGACCAAGTGGCGGTTCTGTCCGAACTGCAATCACCAACCTGTGCTCAGTTATATCTGGATGACAGTGGATATGCCGGCCTCCAGGGCCGGTGCATCCACTGCCAGCCATAGATCAGTGCAGCCCCCCCTCCTCTTCAGTCATTGGTTGCTAGGACCACTGGCATCCGAGCAACCGTTGATGTCAGGTGTCCACCTACTCTGCATTGAATGGTTGCTAGGATCACTGACATCCTAGCAACCAGTGATGTCAGGTGTCCAACTCTGCATTCACTGGTTGCTAGGACCACTGGCATCCTAGCAACCAGTAACATCAAATGAGTTTACCTCCCTCAGCATTACAGGGGTGTGGAAGAGTATCTTCTTTGGTCCCCTCCAGCAGCCTGCTCCACCTCCCGCCTTCGGCCTACTAATGAAGTAGTAATGTAAGGTATGTGAGGACAATAATATTAAGGGGCACTGTAAAAAGGGACAAGGGGGCACTCTAACTTATTAAAATCAAGTTCAGCCCATTGGTTCCTTTACAAAATGGATATAGATAGATAGACAGACAGTCAGAAAGACACTGAACTGACTTTTGAGCTTTGACAAGGAGAGAATACAAGTGACTAACAGCACACACACCTATCCCTGAGAGATGAGTCTGCACCATTGTAACTAATTTAATGTGGAGATTTAAATTGACACAAATTCCCATTTGTCATTGATTGTCCTTCAAGTTCTTTACACCTAATCCATGCCCTGAGCTGGTATAATGGAATAAAATGGAGGAGAATGGATCCATAAGGCCATTTTATAGGTCGGCTTGCACATTTAATTAACACTCCTACTTCAAATTCCTGCAGATCTCGGCGGAGATGCATCTCTTGACCCTGAGGAAGAACTCCACACAGACCACACCTAGTCCTGGCTGTGACCAGAACCTTTTATTGTGTCTATGGGGACAATCACGGAGTGAGAGTTATCAAAAAGAATTCACACGCAAACCCATTTCATCGTGCACACCGTCAGTGCGAATCACAAGTACTTGGGAAAGTCAAGACTCCCATCATCCGCAGCGCCATCAACGATGTTCTGTACATAAGTAGACTTCTGGGTCATCCTAGATACCAGGACTCCATCATGTCTTACTCACACAGCCACCTTCTACTTGCCCTAAATACTTGTTGTGTCCCATGTATTCAAATCTGAAAGTCAAACTGTTTGAGTTGCCCAATCAATCAGATTCTTTTAAATGAACTGAAGTCATGAAGAAGCATTGGATGCTCTGGTGTAACACAAACAGTTCTTCTTTCAGGCACCGTCATATATGAAGACCATTATGGAATGTTTACTGCGCTTATAATGTTGTTTCATCTCTTCGGCAGAATCTTTGTCTTGTTGTTTATTTGTCTCATTTTTGTGCGGTTGGGGATCACATTTTAGCTACAAATGTATTTGATGTAAACTTGATTCTTGTCATCCATATAACATGAGGGATACAATAACCGCACTATTCATGTTTTCATGTTATTACTAACCCTGAGTGAAAGACTCTTTTCCACGTTCATTTTTATATTTCAATATTTTATGTTTTTTTTTAAACATGTAATACAATATACAATAACAGTATCAAAAAAAGGAATCG